TTTATCTAATTCTTTCTTTTTCTTATCTAATTCATTCTCTTCTTTATCTAATTCTTTTTTATTATCTAATTGTATGAAAATCTGTTCTGATTTTGTTCAATCCTCTAATTGTATTTGTATTATATTCCACAAAATCGGTTTAACAAAAAAACACCATAACATCCGATAAGTAAAAAAATAAAGTACGTAAAATCTTTACTAAAATAAAAAGGCTTTATTTATTATCTAATTTATTATCGAATTGTATGAAAATCTGTTCTGATTTTATGGTACGTACTACAAATTGTGCACCTGTGTTTAGGAGCTACTTAACGGGCAAGCTCTGTGGAAATGACTCATTTAGTGCTTCTGTCCCGTGCATACGGTATGTATTTTTATTACACATACTAGAAAATTGTGCACCCCGTGTATCTCACGGGCTCTGTACTAATAAATGACCTTAAAATTGTGCACCCCGTGCATCACCCGTGTTCACATTTTGACCTATTACAGGTCACGTACTATATATATCCCGTACATTTTTTTATTCATTTATATAATTATTATAATGAATAAATGACTTTAAAATTGTGCATCTCGTTCATCGCACTGGCTCTGTACTAGTAGGATTTAAAAACAAACAAACAAAAAAGAAAGAATAAGCTCTAAACGCTGTTCAATCCAATGAACGTATCTGTGGGCCCCCCTTTTAATGGAAGAGGCACATTCGGATGGGGGGTTTAAACGCTGAACACAAAACCAGCATTACGGATGTTCTAACAACTAACCATTTTTTTCAAATTTAACCAATCCAAACAAAAAATTCATTCAAAATCAAATTTTTTTATATCCAAGCATATAAATTAAAGTTGATTTGATTTTTAGAATGATTGATTGATATTATTTAATTATGTTTATATATTGAAAATAATTGGTGTTGAGTTAAATTTGTATTAGATTTGAGTTTGGATTGAATTTTGTGGGAAAAAAATTATTTATTTATTTATTTTGGTGCAAGAAAGGAGGCAGAAGCTTTAGACTACAATGCTGCGAGGATAAGAAACTCCTAAGTTATCATGCTCCAGCCACGGTTTAACCCCCGTGGGTGGGTCGTCAAGAACGTGGAGCCCAGTTGGTAAAGTCGAGGCCACCGACGCAAGGTGGTCGGCTGCAAAGTTCTCTTTTCGGTGTATGTGACGAACCTCCACATTCCATTCACTGGCCAGTAGGTCTCGAATGCCTAGGACGATACTGCTGTTAACCCCCGTCGGGGAGGCTTCCTGGATCACCAGTTGCACCATGCTATTATTATCGACTTCCGCGACAACCATGTTCTCCTATAAAAGGGGACTGATGTACAACTGCAAACTCACCACATTCTCTACACACTCTACATTCCATACAACTCTAGATTCAAAGTTTATCATCGTCCTATATACTAACTTGAACGTCGAAGTGCTCACGCCCAGAATCCCCCAGCACTTGTTTTGACGTTCACCAGCTATCTTGGAAGGATCGAAGCTTTTTCTTAGCTGATTCAACCTAGACTTTGATCGTTGCACATCAAACCATATTATTTTCAACCAACAAAAAATTATCATCACGTGGGGGCGACATGCGCACAAAAAATTTCATGCTACATGTGGGGGCAGTGTCCACACATGTGCATCTGACTCTTCCCATGCGCACATTTCTTGTGCCTGTCGTTGTACTGTTATTGACAGAGTGGAGAGGAGACTTGCGACGACCATTAGTCGTTGATATTTAGCTTTGATGGTCCACCATTTCACCACTTGACAACATTTAATCAAATTAAAATTCCATTGAATTTATCAATTTTTCTCTAAAACACATACAAACGTAACAATTTATCTAACTTATTTTTAAGCCTCGTACCTCCAATCCGGCTTTCCATTTTACTCGGAGTATCAACACATCACGAGCCCGAAGCCATGGCCGAGCCTAACTCCGTACCTCCTCCGAGCCTGCTCGTACTCCTCCTCCTCAACATACTCTTGTTATGCTCACTATCTCCACCCGCAAAGTCGCAAGAGTACTGTTTCACCGAAACCTTCACTCCAAACAGCACCTACTCGGCCAACCGTGAAGCCCTCTTCTCCTCCACGCCGGCCACCATCCCCGCCAGCGGCTTCCTCAATGCCACCACCGGAGAAGCTCCCGACCAAGTCAACACCGTCTTCCTCTGCAGAGGAGATGTTAGCCTCACCGCCTGTCGCCAATGCGCCAACGAATCCGCTCGTTACCTCGCCCAGAGGTGTCCCTACAGCAGGCAAGCCCTTGCTTCTAAATGCCACTTTTTTTTTTTTTCTTAACAAAAATATTCACAAATAATTTTATTAAAAAAAAAAAAAAAACAGGGATGGGCTATTCTACAACGAGACGTGCTTAATCCGGTACGCGGATACACCGTTACTCGGGGTTCTTGTAACGGAGCCCCTCAGCGTGTGGCCTAGCACGATTATGGTGAGGAGCCCAGTAGAGAACGAACGAGAAAGACGAGCTTTGCTGGAGAGTTTGACGGAACACGCGGCGAACGGCGGGTCGGCACAGAAAGTGGCGGCCGGGAATAGGATGACGGCACAAGGGGATAGGGTGTATGCGCTGGTGCAGTGCACCCCGGATATATCGGCGAGTGACTGCACGGACTGTTTGACTCAGTCGATGAATCGTATTCCGGCGTGTTGTCGTGAGTTGATTGGGTCGAGGATTTTGAGACCAAGCTGTACCATTCGGTTTGAAGACTATCAGTTTTTTAGTGCTTCCATGGTTCAAGTTCCACAGGAGCCCCTGCCACCTGGTTCAGGTGACACCACGTCCAAGTTACTATTTATGATAATCTTTTAAAGCTATTGATGAAAAGTTTAAACAATAGCGTATCTAATAGAGTTAATTACAGGAAAAAATCGAACTGCTATCATTGTTGGCGCAACAGTTTCAGGCGTCGTGTTCGTGATACTTGTTGTTTATGTTGCGTTCCTATTTAGGAAGAGGAGGCTTACAATGAAATGGAAGAGAAAGACTGAGAGTGAGAACTTTTTTTATCCGTCTAAAGTTCACTACTTCTTTATTCGTTCCATTTTTTACGTGTGATTTTGCACAGATGACGGCGACATTAGCACGATTAAATCCCTGCAGTATGATTTCCACGGAGTTAGAGCCGCGACTAATGATTTCTCGGATAATAACAAGCTAGGTCAGGGTGGATTCGGGGCGGTTTATAAGGTGATTAATCAACATTTTTATGTATACACGAGAAATTGAAGTTCAAATCTAGCTTTCGTTTAATGATTTGGTTCTGTTTCGGTTTGGAATCAGGGTGAACTTCCGGACGGCCAACAAATAGCCGTCAAAAGACTGTCCAAAGATTCCCGACAAGGCAAGACCGAGTTCCAGAATGAGGTCTTGTTAATGTCAAGGCTTCAGCATAAGAATCTAGTAAGGCTCCTTGGTTTCTCAGTAGAAGGAACCGAAAGGCTTCTTATATATGAATTCGCCGAGAACTCGAGCCTGGACCAGTTCATATCTGGTAAGCAATTGGTAATGGTTTTCAATTTCTTTTAGCATGCTTTCTTACATTTACTCTTTTGATTTCAAAATTTTTATGATATATTCTCTTTTAAACCGAGCGTGTAGATCCCGTTAGACGCTCCTACTTGGATTGGAGTATGTGTGACAAGATCATAAGGGGCATCGCGAGGGGACTATTGTACTTGCACGAAGATTCTCGACTCAAGATCATTCATCGTGATCTCAAGCCAAGCAATGTGCTTCTGGATGGCGATATGTACCCTAAAATTGCAGATTTCGGCATGGCACGATTATTTGGACAAGATGAAACTCAAGGAAGTACAAGCATAATTGTCGGAACATAGTAAGTAATTGTTGGAATATCACTAGTCAGTTGTCCTACATTAAGGAAAATGGGTGTAGCTTATATTCCTTGTAAGCTATTCCTCACATCTTCAATTGATTTTGAGATGGAACCTTGTGTACCTCTCACCCTCTTATGGTGTTCACATGTGTGGGACCGTACCCCCTCCCCCGATTCTATAAATCTAATAGTAATAAAACAATTTTGCAAGACTACAAATTTCGCACATTCAACTTAAAGTTCACTGTGATTTTGGATATTTGCAGTGGATATATGCCGCCTGAATACGTAATGCACGGGCATTTCTCTGTTAAGACGGATGTCTTTAGCTTCGGAGTGCTTGTGCTGGAAATCATGTCTGGTCACAGAAATGGTTTTGTCGACTCGGGAGACTACAGTGACGGCCTACTGAGTGCCGTAAGTATCTTTATACTAATACGAAAAGCAAATTGATAACATGAACTCGGTTGATACAATGTAACTAAAACATTGCGCAATCATCAGACATGGAAAAATTGGTGCCGAGGCACGGTTGAAAAAGTTGTAGATCCTGCTCTGAAGGCTGGGCCGGGCCAGCTGAACGACATGTTGAGGTGTATCCAGATCGGGCTGTTGTGTGTCCAGGAAAACCCGGCCGACAGGCCCACGATGGCTTCCATTGTTCTCATGCTCAGCAGCACCACTATGGCTCTGCCTGCTGCCTCAGAGCCTGCATTTCACTTGGTCAGCCGATTTGTTCCGAGTGGGTCTGATCTGGTGGGCTCAGGATCTACTGGGCTGTCTCAGAATACTATGTCCGTGACCGAGTTAGACGCGAGGTGACTCGACAGAGGATTTTTAATGGTTTCTTGCCTTTGAGACCATGGAAATTGGAACATGTGTGTCTAACTGTCTATTGATTTTCTTTTTCAAGATCGAAAAGTAATGCTGCAATCTGTGTGTAATACTTGCTTTCTGTGTTTCAAGATACAAATGTAATGTGTGGTGAGGCAGACTCTTTTTTTTTTCTTTTTTTTTTTTTTCCTTTTAATAGATAATATGTATAAAAATGGTGTAAGCTCCAAGTACAGTTCTTGATTCCTGTTGATGTTGATGCTTTCTCACAAGTTATGTTCTGTTGTTAGCTAAGAATGAAATCATAAGAAAAAGAACAATAACACCACAGAAAATCACCAATCTTTCGTGCATCCTGGAAATCAAAACAAACCAATTTCAAACTACACAAGCAACCCAAAAAAAATAAATTTAAAACATCCTGGAATCAGACTTTGCAAACATAAAGCATCTGCATTAAACCCAAAACCTCTCGAACATAGTCTCCAGCATCATCCCTTGAAAACCGATCAAGCTCGGCTTGTACGGGTACAGTCTCGTCGAGGCGGCCAAATTGCTCACCATTCCATAGTCCGTCCGCTCGCCAGTCTCGATATTGCACGTGAATATCTCCCCGCCCTTAACCCAAAACCACATCTCCCCATCCCTCACCAACAACGGCACCACCTCATTCCCCTTCTTCACCAACGGCAGGGGCACGATCCTCTCCTCCACACCCCACCTCCCCTTCTTGTGGTCCTCCAGCTCCTTCACCTCCATATTGGGCCCCACGACACCCGCAATCGCCAGCTTCCCTTCCCACTCCAGAACCCAGTAATCGTCGGGCCGGCCCGTCTTCGGTACAAAACGGCTCACGGAAAATTTATCGGTCTCGAGGTCCAACGACACCACGTCTATCTCGTACTCCGTGAAATAAATGCAGTGCGCGGCCTCGCCCGACGAAACAACAACCGTCCGGTGGGCCCCACCACCACCGATGATCATCATCTCGGGGAAATCGAGCGGCCTCCACGCGCGGGCCCCGCCGGGGTCGAGTACCTCGCAGCCTTCCGGGTCGCGGTGGAACGAGACGATGCGGTAGCTGCCCGTGGCCCGGGAGAAGGCGAGGGCGGCCCCGCGGCAGCCAGGGCTCGGGCCGGGCAGCTCGAGGGCCCGTTTGGTGGCTGGGTTCAAGAGGTAGAGTGTGTTTTTGGTTTTGTTTCTCATGAGGAGGAGGCCGTCTCGACCGTCCGCGACGGAGAAGGAGTAGTGGGCCGATGCGTGGGCCAGGGTGGGCACGATGTTGTGATGGTGGTAGATTACCTTCGAGTGGGCCATGTGGCGGTCCTTGAAGTAGTGGGTTTGGACGAGGGACTGCCATTCCTTGGAGACGAGCTGGAGGCGGGCCGCATCCTTGAGGGGCATTCGGCTCAGGATCTCGACTGTGATGCCTGGCGGGAAGAGTGGGGTCGACCGGTCGAGTTTTTGGATCCGCGGGGACCGTGGGCCCGGGCCTGGCGAGTCGTGTCCCGTGTCTGGCGCCATTGTTGTCTGGATTGAACTCGGATATTCCATGCTATGGAGAGGCTCTTGAGGATTAGGTCTCTGATAAGAAGAAATTTAACATCACTAACATGCATTCATACTGAATCTCACTGTCTTAGAACAGTGATTAATCCTTAGAAAGGCGAACTGGCCAAGAATGATGATACTAAAGGACAGACAACCTAAAAAATGAGATCTAATAATGTCGGAACTTCATACAATCAACAACCTGGGATGATCATTGTGGGAATACCTTCGAGATTTTGCATTCCCCTTTATCCAAAACATAGCAAGTGCACAAATTTCATGAAAATCAGACAGATTATGATGAGGAAGAAGAGATAAAAACAGAGAATTAATGGCCAGCAATCCCTTTATTCAATTTGTGGACATAAACATGGAGTAGTAACTAAGACTAGAAAATACGCAGACAACATTAATAATGAAATATTCTGTAACAGTAAAGGACATTAGAGGAGGACGATCGATCTACCTTCGAAAAGATGGTGATGAGTGGGCAGAGAGTGGAAGACGAAAGGATTTTGTTCTATTTGTTGTGATTTCGAGGGTCGTTAGTTGTTATGATATGGTATCGTAAATCTCGGATTATATTTCCTTATATTTCCTTTTATCTTCCTTTCTTTTTTGATTCTTCTAATTTTTTATATTAATTTATATTATAGGGAAATTTTACGGTCCGATTACGGTACCATTCCGTCAAAGTTTGTAATCGTTAGATCAACTATCCATGACGGTTACATGATGATCTAACGGTTACAAATTCCGACAGAATGGTTCCGTAACGGGACTGTAGCATTTCCCTATATATATTAGTTTTTATTCTTAGTAAATGGCAGGTCAACCTTGGTCAAATTTTAATTAGCATTAATACTTAACGTTTTTAGTAACTTTTTTTATTTTTTATTTTTCAGTTCAAAAAAATCAGACCCAAAAATTACGGAATTTGTTAAGGGCTTTAAATTAGGGAATTAAGTGTCCACCAAACCATATTTAATATTCTTTATCGCAACATTTTACCAAAAATTACTATTTATGAATCACATTATAGTCAAATTGAATATCTGAATAAAACATTTGAACTGATACTTATTCTGAAACGAATATAATGTGATTTATTATCAGTTATGTGCACCACACAGGTTGTGTACTAATTTTAAGTAGACATTTTTATATAATTTTGTACAATTTAAACTTTATATAATATTTTCAATAAATCAGATTAAGTAACTGTATTACATATTGGTTCTCATATTTTTAATTTATAAATATTACTTAATAAAGAATTTTTAATTTATAAATATTAGTGAATATCTCTTACTCGTGCACTGCACGATACTCATACCAGAAATCATTATAGTGATTACATAAAATATAATAAATAATATAAATTCTGTAAATTTGAGGGATCGTGAAACAAATAATTAGTCAAAAAATATTAAATTTTTTAAAAAAAATTCTTATATATGAATTCGCCGAGAATTCGAGCCTCGAACAGTTCATATCTGGTAAGCGATTGGTAATGGTTTTCAATTTCTTCTAATTACATTTACTCCGTTGCTCTCAAATTTTTTTATGATAGATTTACTATTAGAATATTCACTTGTGAGTACGTCATCGCAGCACGGTCCCACATAGAACCGGCTATGTTACCATGTAATAAGAAACATGGAGAAAAACAAGTGAGGTCCCACGCAGATGAAATGTACTAACAGGGAAAGCCCAGATGAAGCCCAAGTGAGGTGTCATCCCAAAACCAATTGGTGGAATGAGAAGTAGCCCATTAGACTTATAAATTAGGCCTATTTTCTATAAACGATGTTGGACAACTTGCAAGTGAATATTATAATATTTACTTTTAAACCGAGCATGTAGATCCCGTTAGACGCTCCTACTTGGATTGGAGCATGTGTGACAAGATCGTAAGGGGCATTGCCAGGAGACTATTGTACTTGCACGAAGATTCTCGGCTCAAATTCATTCACCGTGATCTCAAGCCGAGCAATGTGCTTCTGGATGGCGATATGTACCCTAAGATTTTATATTTTTTGGCATGACACGATTATTCAGACAAGATGAAACTCAGGGAAGTACAAGCATAATTGTCGGAACATAGTAAGTAGTAAACAATTTTGCAATACGACAAATTTCCAACATTCAATTTAGGTTATGTTTGGTAACCAAATAAGTTACACTACAAGAAAATGATGAAATTCCAACGGAAATATATTTCAAGGAATTATTCCAACTGCAATTCCAACGGATATTTCAATACTATTATTTCCGTTGGAATTTTTCAATGGATTCCAACGGAAATTCCAACGAAAATATTCCGTTGGAATGAGTTTTCCATTGGAATTTCAGTTGGATTTTGACGATTCCAACGGTGGATTTTCCAACGGGGGTAGAAAAAAAAATTCCAACGGAATTTGCATATTCCAACGGAAATTCCTACGGTAAAAAGCCGTTGGAATTATAGTCGTTGGAATCATCAAATTCCATCTAAAATTCCAATGAAAAACACATTCCAATGGAATATTTCCGTTGGAATTTCTGTTGGAACTATTCCAACGGAAGCTATTCCATTGGAATATCTGTTGAAATTTCCATTGGAATATATTACCATAGGATTTTCCGTTGGAATATAACATTTATTTTGTAGTGTTAGCCTATAACTTATTTGATTAGTTTATAAGCTTCCAGCATTCAAATAAACTTCGTTTAGCAGGACGAACTTTTTTAAAAAGCTCTAGTTTATGTCATATGCTTCTTTGAGTAGTTTTTCAAATAAGCTGACTGAAAATTTTATTTAAGTTAGCTTATCAGCTAATTTAACAAAACACTATAAGTTAGTTTTCAGCTATAAATCATAAGTTATAAGTTATAAACTAACTTACCGCTACCAGATAATTTACCAAATAGCCTTAGGGTGTGTTTGTATATGAATAAACCCAATTCATACTTAAAATTTAACTCAACTTTAACTTAGGTACACTATTCTCAATATTATCAATATAATTAAATAATACTAACAAATCATTCTTACACATCACATCAACATTAATTTACTATTCAATCACTCACATGATTTTAACTAACCATCAACATAATCTCTCTTCTACTTTTACATCAAATCAATTTTAATTATTTTATTTTATATATTATGTTAATATAAAATTAAAATACCACAAATAACTAACAATATCACTTTAAAAAAAGGGTTAATTGCATTTAAAATCTTAACCTTTTGTGTAATTGCAAATAAAACTCAACTTTTTCAATTTGGCACAAAAATAAAGCTTTAATAAATAATTGCAATCGTGTCTCAAAATCAGTTTCCGGCCATACCAAACCTTGAATAAGATGTCAGGAAAAGTCGTCGCCAGAAAAGTCACCGGTTCCGGCGAAGGTGGACGTCACTAGATGTGGCTTTGCGAGAGGAGTTCAATGGTACCTTCGAATTCACATGGGTCAAAGCGAGTCACCGGGAATTTGCGAAAGAACGCCAGAGAAAATTTGAAGATCTACGATTTTGACCGGAAAATTAGAATCCTTATCATCGGAAATTTTTCGTGAAGCTCGGATATGTTGTCGGCACGGAGGAGAGCTACAAGATCATGTAAAAATTTTCAACATCCGGTAAAGTTGGATGGTGGCAGTTGGCGGCGGTTCGACGAGTGAGACACAATTGCAATAATTAGTGAATGCTGGTATTTTTTTTTTTTTTGCCAAATTAAAAAAAGTTGAGTTTTATTTATAATTACACAAAAAGTTACGATTTTAAAAGCAATTAACCCTTAAAAAAACTTATTTTAAAAAAACTTATTTTGAGTGAATATATTTGTATACAAACACGCCCTTAATGTATAGAAGTTCTCTTGGTGCCAACTTGTTACTATGATTTGGATATTTGCAGTCGGTATATGCCGCCTGAATACCTAATGCACGGCCATTTCTCTGTTAAGACGGAAGTCTTTAGCTTTGGAGTCCTTGTCCTGGAAATCATGTCTGGTCACAAAAACAGTTATGTCGGTTGATACAATGTAAGTAAAATTGTCGTGCAAATATCAGACATGGAAAAATTGGTGCCGAGGCACGGTTGAAAATGTTGTAGATCCTGCTCTGAGTGCCCGACCGGGCCAGCTGCACGACATGTTGAGGTGTATCCAAATCGGGCTGTTGTGTGTCCAGGAAAACCCAGCCGACAGGCCCGCGATGGCTTCCATTGTTTTCATGCTTAGCAGCACCACTGTGGCTCTGCCTGCTGCCTCAGAGCCTGCATTTCACTTGGCCAGCCGATTTGTTCCGAGTGGATCTCATCAGGTTTAAGCTCCAAGATCTTTTCTTGATTCCAGTTGATGCTTTCTCACAAGAGAAAACTTTTGTCACCTAGTTTTCTGCTGTTACCAAAGAATGAAATCTTGGGAAAAAAGACCAATAACACCACAGAAAATTACGTCCACAGGCGAACAAAACGAGAAAAAATGGAAAATCACCAATCTTTCTTGCATCCTGGAAATCAAAGCAAACCAATTTCAAACTACACAATCAACCAAAAAAAAAAAAAATAGGTCCTCCCACAAAAATTACCAAAAACAAACACATAATCTTCATTAATCGCAAAACTTCTCGAACATAGTCTCTGGCACCATCCCTTGAAAACCGATCAAGCTCGGCTTGTAAGGGTACAGCCTCGTCGAGGCCAACAAATTCCTCACCATTCCATAGTCCGTCCGCTCGCCTGTCTCGATATTGCGCGTGAATATCTCCCCGCCCTTGACCCAAAACCACATCTCCCCATCCCTCACCAACAACGGCACCACCTCATTCCCCTCCGCCTCCTTCTTCATCCACGGCAGGGGCACGATCCTCTCCTCGACACCCCACCTCCCCTTCTCGTGGTCCTCCAGCTCCTTCACCTCCATATTGGGCCCCACGATACATGCAATCGCCAGCTTCCCTTCCCATTCCAGAACCCAGTAATCGTCGGGCCGACCCGTTTTCGGTAAAAAATGGCTTACTGCAAATTTATCGGCCTCGAGGTCCAACGACACCACGACAATCTCGGTTTCCGCGAAATAAACACAGTGCGCGGCCTCGCCCGACGAAACAACAACCGTCTGGTGGGCCCCACCGGTGGTGACCATCTCGGGGAAATCGAGCGGCCTCCACACGCGGGCCCCGCCGGGGTCGAGGACCTCGCAGCCTTCCGGGTCACGGTGGAAAGACACGACGCGGTAGCTGCCAGTGGCTGCCCGGGAGAAGGCGAGGGCTGCCCTGCGGCTGCCCCGGTGAGGGCCGGGCAGCTCGAGGGCCCGTTTGATGGCAGGGTTCCAGAGGCAGATTGTGTTTTGGGTTTTATTTTTCATGAGGAGGAGGCCGTCTCGGCCATCCGCGAAGGAGAAGGAACAGTAGGCCGAGGCGTTGGCCCGGTTGGGCACGACGTTGAAATGGCAATGGATGACCTCGGCGTGGGCCATGTGGCGGTCCTTGAAGTAGTGGGATTGGATGAGGGACTGCCATTCCTTGGAGACGAGCTGGAGGCGGGCCGCATCCTTGAGGGGCATTCGGCTCAGGATCTCGACTGTGACACCTGGCGGGAAGAGTGGGGCCGACGGGTCGAGTTTTTGGGTCCGCGGGGACCGTGGGCACGGGCTTAGTGCCATCTCGGTCCACTAATATCCAACATTAAGTGCGAGTTTCATGAAAATCAGACAGATTATCAACAGGAAGAACAGATAAAAACAGAGAATGGCCAGCAATCCTTAAGAAAGTTGAAAAGCACTGTAACTTGAACATGCAATTTGTAACTAAGACTAGAAAATACGCAGACAAAATTAATAATGAAGTTATTATGTAACAGTAGAGGAGATTAGAGGAGGACGATCGATCTACCTTTGAAAAGATGGTGATGAATGGGCAGAGAGTGGAAGACAAGAAGGATTTTGTTCTATTTGTTGTGATTTCTAGGGTAACTTTGTTATGATATGGTATCGTAAATCTCGGATTATAACTGTTCCTTATCGTTCCCTTATCTTTCTTCTTTTTTATTCTTCTAATTTGTTAGAGAAATGATACGATCTCGTTACGTAACCATTTCATCGAGATATGTAACCGTTAAAGATCAACTATCCTGACGGTTAGATGATGATCTAACGGTTACAAACCCCGACAAAATGGTTCCGTAACTGGACCGTAGCATTTCCTATTCCGACAGTTACATGATGATCCAACGGTTAAAAACTCTGATAGAATGTTCTGTTTAGCATCTCCCAATTTTTTATATTATATATATATAGGGGTTGGTTCAAATTAAAACCGGGTTTGGTGTGAGAACCGTGCGAACTATATTTGATGCTATTTTTAATTGTATATGATGTTATTTTTAATATTGCATTGTGCTATTATTTTCACAAATGCTAATAAAAATTTTATTGCTATTTTTAATAAAATACATTCTAATTAAAAATAGCACTAAAACACAATCAATCATAGCACTACATACAATTAAAAATAGCGGTTCTCACGCTAGGACTTGGTTCTCATTTGAACCACATCCTATATATATATATATATATAGTTTAGTGGGCGGGCGGACAAAAAAAAATGGTATGGTTAGTTGTTAGTGGGTATATTAAAATAATATTAAAAAATATAATAATTAAAGTAGATTTGATATAAATGTATGAGAGAGATGATTTGAAGTGATGGTTAGTTAAAATTATGTGAGTGGATGAATAATAAATTAAAGTTGATGTGACGTGTATAAATGATTGATTGATATTATTTAATTATATTAATAATATTAATAATAGTGGGGTTGGGTTAAAATTGCGTTAAAAAGTAATTGGGTTAAAAATGTTTGGATTTTTTGGATCAATTTTGTATCCAAGCATACTCTAAAGAATTTTCAATGCATCTTAAAAACATTTAACCTTTGCTAATTCCGTACACAACAACTATAATTCAGAACAATTTGGAAAATGAAAAGGATAAAAAATGAAAAATTAATCTCATGCAGTAAAAACAATTTTGATGTACAAATCAGGCTGTGGCTCCATGTTCACTAGGCTTGTTATCATGACCGAGGTTCTGTTTCTTTTCTTCATCTGCAATGGCGGATGCCGAAACATAGTAAGCCACGGAAAATAATCCGTGAACAAAACACAAAATCCCGCCGATCGACAGCTGGCGGTGGTGGGCTATACCGCAGTTCTTTCTCGTTTGTGCGTTGGCCAGTGTGCCGGACATCAGCAGGATGAAGGCAATGGCCAGCATGATCCTGATTCATATAATACACACAGTTTATGTTATGTATAGTCAAAAGTGCCTTTATGAAGGAGAAGTTCATGATAGAAAATGGTGAGCTTTGGACAGAACATTTTTAAAAAAATTCAAAGAAAAGATTTATGTATGTTTCACTAACGTTTTCGTCCCCTTCGAATTGCAACATAAGAATTGTCGTTTTGATTTTTGTCCCTATGTTTGCAAAAAGTTACAAAAAGGCCCGGAGCATACATAAGAGACAAAATTACAACCTTTTTGCAAATTCGAAGGGGACAATTTTGCTGCGAAAAATGTTCTTTGTGTAACCTTTTTGCAAACATAAGGGACGAAAATCAAAACCACAATTCTAAAAGAATGAAAAAGTTAGGGTAGTGAAACATGATGACTAATTTTGATATTTTCTCGATTTTCAACAGAAGCTCGAACAAACAAGAATTTGGAGAATGAACTATAGATGAGCGAAGAATTTCAAAAAATTAAATGCGCGACAAAACAAGAACTTTGCGCACCAAGTTTAAGGAAAAAGAAATGTTGGATGTGTAAATAAGTAAATAAGTAAATCACCATGACATGACGAGAGAGGCAGCGGCTAGTTGCTTGTTTGGAGACGCTCGGTCCAATTCCTCCTTGGAACCGATAAAAACGCACCCTCCGAGCAAGTTAGTTATGATATGAGCCAAACACAACAGCACAACTGCCGAAAGCCCGAGTTTAAAAGCTTGGTTGCTCGGGTCTCGGCATTCGAAAACCCACACCCTCAGTTCTTGAACCTGTTTGTTAAAATGGATTGAATGATTAATTTAAAAGTAGATATATGGTTTAGTTTATGAATCAATAACCTAGCAGAGACTGAATTGAAATAGAGTGAGTTCTTTCAAGTTTGCAACTGAAAAACCGAAAAACATCACGGTACAAACCTTATTTTCGGCAACCTCGGCTTGAATGCCAAGAACTCCAGCTACAATGTCGATAACCATGATCAGAAAACACACGAGGAAGGCTATGTTTTTCTGCATTCTCTGAAGATTATAGCCAGAATTTCGAAAGAAAACAAAAAAAAAAGAGAGAAAAGAGAGAGAATGTATGTATGTATGTATGTATGTATAGCCTTCGAGGATAAACAAGGACCTGTATACATGTATATATATACACACACACACACAATGCCCGAACATAAATTCTTCCAGCGAGTACGAGAATCGGAATAAAGTCGACAGGCGGATAAGAATGTCTGAGATCATGAGGAAGATGAGCTGGGAAAAAAAAAAGAAAAAGGCTTCCTCTGTTTTGCCCTGCTTTTTGGTTCTCTTTTGCTCTTTGGAAAGAAATTCCTTTCATGGGTAGCAAGATTAATGCAAACCATCAACAGAGATAGCATGCAAGTGATCAAATAATTTAATTAATACAGCTTTATTTTGTTATATTCTTTGCCCTTGTGCCCATATATTCACTTGCATGATACTCCATCTACATTGAGAAGCTACAATTCTAATTTAAAATATATAAATCATGGTTCCTCTGCAATTAAATAATTTTTATATCAACCAGCTTTATTTGTTATATGCTTTGCCCTTTTTGGTTCCTCTTCGAGTTGGGTGACCTTGAACCCGGTCAACCTGGCCTTGACTCGATTTCAATCGCGTTGGATAGACTTGAATTGACCACCCGGCCTTTGTATACTTTTCAAAAAAAAAAAATTATTTCAAAAATAGAAACTATGTATAAATAAATTTATATAGAAAATATTTACTATAAGAAACAATATTATTAAAATTTTGATATACGAAATTTATGTACACAATACTTTGTTCTGCAATTTTCTTTTAGCTTTAGGAATGTAAACATTTGGGGTTTGACACAATTGGGGTACAGTTGATGGTGAGGCAAGAAAATCAGGGAAAGAGGAGACCATTAAATTTAAAAACTTCAGATGATACTTAAGCCATTATTATCTCATGTTTTAGGTGAAAATACGCGAATCCAATAAAGGGTCGATTGTAGAAGATGATTATGGTGAATGAACATAGAGACAGTTTATTAGAACCGGGGGAAAAGAGTGTGGTCCCACGAGGTGAAACGCACCATAAGAGGGTGAGCCTAGGTGCACTTTAGTGAGGTTTCATCCCAACACCAATTGGTATGGGAGGAGTAGCCCACTATGCTTATATACTAGGCTCATTTTTCCTATAGAATCAATGTGGGACAACTCACAAGTGATATTCCAATACTGGTACTTATAATCTGCCAAGGATTGCCCTTCAAAATTTCCAGAAAATGGTTCTGCAAACAATTATGCGCGACAAAAGCTGATTTAAGTATATCAATTTCTACAAGAGCAAGCACATTATGCACGATGTTTGAGCCATCAAATCCTAAAGCGTCTGAATAGTTCATCGAACAATATGGTCCAAGGGTAACACACTGTAGATGAGGTAAATCTCTTTGTGGATGTTAAACTCTGTTTCATTTATGCGAATTAGGTAAATCTCTTTGTGGATAATTTCCGAGCGATGGATCTTGAGCGTCTCCACGGCAGCAACTTGGGGCAAAGATTATGCATTTGTTCTTGATTTGTCATATTTTCTCCATGGCAGCAACTTGGACAAGAATGGAAGAGATGCTTTACGTTATTCTGCATTTTACTCTTTCTTTCTGATTATGTAGTTGCTATTTACAACGAGCAGTGTGTATATATATGTCTGGTTTGTCGGCATGTTCAGTAGGTACGGTGTTTGTTCTATTCAAAGTCTGTGAATTTGATACAAGTACTGTTCCTAAAATCCATGTTTTGATGCATGTGTTTTGCATTGTGAGCAAATTTTGATTTTAACTTGGATGGTGAATTATTTTTTATGTTTTTTTTTTTTTTTTTCCTTGTGAAGGTGTGAAATTGAAGTTAACAGGGGTTGATTCTATGATCAAAATTGTTGAAATGTCCATTTTTTATGAAAAAAAATATGGCAAACTAGAGCTTCAGTAGAAGCATGTGCCTAATCAATGTGAAGTTTGTGATTTGAGGCATGTGCCTGATCAATGTGAAGCATGACCACACAGTTTGTTGGGAGCAATTAATTTTCTCATAAATGAAGTTTGTGATTTCTCTCAACAAGTTTTTATTATATGTGAAGTTGAAAGCCAGGATTTTTCACAAGAAAAATTTTGTAGCATGATCATTAACAGTCAGGGGTATTTCTGCAAATGAGTCGAGCCGAGTCGAGCATTGGTCTTATTGAGTAGGATTGATTTTCTTTTTTTTTTAGCTGCTCGAGCTCGATTTATGAGGCTCGAGTTGGACTCGATAAGAAAATACAATAGCTAAATATTTAATTCGGGTTGAACTAAATTGTGTAGAAATTTTCCTACGTCCCGGTTAGATACTCGTGATATATTTATTTCTTAAAATTGACTTCTTGTGAGTAAAAAATAAATGATTAAAGTTAGCCATAAATAGACAAGTAAAACTATAGTTGTAGGATTCGAAGGTTCTATAGTCATATCCCACATTAAACTTTTAAACAAAATTAACTATCTTTATTATCAAAAAGAGAGTTGTAGATGTCACACCAAAAACAAAATTATGCACCAAGTGTTGGTGATAACTTTAGCCACATGCGCGCACACACTGGCAATTGAATTGTAGGTCTAACCGCTATAATGGTTTTACTGCAAATATATTTGCAATTCTAATGCCATTTGGACTCGGGTTTTGAGCCAACCCGTGTGAGACCCTCTCCATGTACATTGAACATAGTGTGTGTGACCTTCACCTGTCTACTTGATTTGGTGGTTATCAGGTGGAGTGAAGGTGAGTTGACACCTTAAAACTTTTCATTTACAACAACTATCAGTGGGTTGTTATTGGTTTGTCCAAAAAGGCCAACACAATCTCGTTCCTATCATTCGCCCTCTCTCGAAAATGATACGCCCTTAAATCCGGCACCAATATTGTCTCCATAATCTCGATCGGGCCAATTTACGGGTTGTGAACTTGGTATACTCAAGAGCAGAAAATCAATAACCGCTACTCCCCATGCTCCCTCCAAAAAAATCTCATGTACTCAATGACCCGAAGTAATTGGCTTGTTTCACTATGTCATTTGTTGCCCATGAAATCCCTTCCCTATTTGCAATCACACCAGCAGTAAAGGTTGTGCCATTATTGTCTCCCCAGCCGACGAGCATAACCTCTAATTTAGGGGCATTGGTCTCTGTTTGAACATATATTGAACAGTCATGGGCTTCACAATCCATTGGTAGGCGCCATTTCCTTTCTCGTGGATGAGCATCGTGGTTTCGTAGTTGTACACCGAGTGAATCTCACTCTCTCTGTAACTAACGTTAGGATTGTCAGCCTTAAAGCTCTTGATAAACATCTCTGTGTTTTTCTCGACATAAAAAATAGGCGGGCCCTCATATTCGGTCGGTCTCTCGTCATGAAAAAGAGACGGACTCTCATATTCGGTCAATTGTTCGTCATAAAAAAGAGGCGGATCCTCATATTCGGTCGACCCTTCATCATCAAAAAGAGGCAGACCTTCATTCTCTGTCGACCCCTGCTCATCCAAGAACTTGGCGGCTTTCAGGCTCCCAAAAAAATCGAG